TCGTCAACGGTTTCGTCAGGATCGTCATTTGACGAAACCTTTCGTCAATTCAAAAATAGTTTCGTCAAGCATCTTTACTGCCAACCCTTTTTAAGTTAGACAGTTCACTAAATGGCAAATTGAGAAAACTTGCTATTGTGCCTTGCGGTACAATTCGGATGGCTCGGGGAGAAGAAGATCTTGACACAATTAAGTGTAAGCCCACCGATCTCTATGATCCCTTGAACCCTAAAATTGCGCAATTATTTTTCGATGATGAAAAATATTTCCCAGTAGAAAAGTTCTCGAATCCAGATAATCTATATTATCACATTTTGAAAAGGTTAGGAATTAAAACTTCGTTTTCATCAATAGATATCATCAAGCGAATTGAAACATATGTCAAACGTCAGAAAACGGAAAATAACATCAATGAGGTGTATAATAAATCACTTAACCTGCTTATTTATATCGATGAAAATTGGAATTCATTAAGTGACAAAAATAAAAAATTTTTATCGATGATTGCTTCAAAATGGATTCCGACTATTAATAAATGCGGTAATAAGTCATTTTCTTGTTCGTCCGAATGTCGTGACAAAAAAGATGAGTACTTAGTATCATTAGCCCTCCCAATTCTCGATTATCAAATCACGAGTGCTCCATTTCGCAATCATTTGGAATGGAAAAGATATCCTCGTGTAAAAACCGTTCTTTTGCAAATGGAACTATGCTCCACAATGCCTAAGGACAATTTAAATATTAAAAACCAGCCAAGAATTTGCAAAGCAATTTATACATATATTGATGAGGCTCTGTCAGACAGCGATGAACAGTCTAAGCAAGAGGTGGAGGAATTAAGGGAAGGGCTAAAAAATATAAAGTGGATCTTTTGTGAAGGTGATTTCTATGCAACCAAGAATGTTGTTTTTGATCTTTCGACAAATTTTGGAAAAGAGCTACCAATTGTTCAGCTGCCTTCTAATTATCGAAATTACTTTAGTAAAGTGTTTAAATCTATGGGTGTCCGAGAAAAAGTTGATATCTCCGATTTCATTGATATAATCGGAGACATTGCTCGTGAAGCAGATAATGAACCACTAACTGATGAAATTTTATCTAAAACTATTAAAATTCTTGATCAAATTGGAAAGGAATGCATTAAGTCTAAAAAGGAGGGAAACCCTAATGATTTGAAAAATTTGTTTATTCCAAGCACTGATGCCATTCTTGTCAGCTTCGAAGAAATCAAATTTGATGACAGGGTTGGGTTAAGTAATGAAGAAAAGGAAAATTGCAAACTCTCTCATTCTAAAATATCACTTGCACTTGCTAAGGAACTTGGAATTCAAATGCTTTCTGAAATGTTTACCAAAGGCAGTGAGATTGATTTCGAAGATTATGAACAATCGGAACCTTTAACTACTAGGATAAAATCGATTATTAGTGTAAACATTATCTTACTTTAAATTATAACCGCTGTTTCCTTATAAATTAACATATTGAAATTTTTATTAATGTCTAGAATTGTTCACCTGATTCCTTGTTCAAAGAATTTCTTCAGGTAATATATGGAATATGCCTCTTTTTTTAATATTTAAATATATAACCCATGTATTTATTATTATACCGCATTTATTCATCAGAACGCTGATGATGCGGGAGCACGTAGATTTATAATTTATATTGATGAAAGACCATTGCATGAGAATGATCATTCCTCACTCTTGTCTGAAGAAATGTATAATTGGCAAGGACCAGCTGTTTGGATTTATAATGATGCGACATTTGAAGATAAAGATTTTTCTGCATTAATTAAACTTGGTGTCGGGAGCAAATCCGGCGATGAGAGCAAAATAGGTCGTTTTGGCATCGGAATTACCACTTCTTACCATTTAACTGACGTTTTATCTTTTGTGAGTGGAGAACAAATTGCCTTTCTTGATCCTCACGCGAAGTTTCTTCCGATGCGGGGAAATTCTCCAAAACGACCTCGAGGAATTAAGTTAAATTTTCTTGAAAAAAAATTTCTAACTCGTTTTAATGATCAATGTATACCATATCTTGCTATAGAAAATTGTAATTTTAAACAATCATTTAACGGAACCTTGTTCAGACTGCCACTTAGAAACATTGAGTTATCAAAAAAAAGCTTAATCTCACGAAATTCAGTAAATCCCAAGGCTATTTTAAACCACTTTTATAAAATAAAAGGTAGTCATGAGATTCTTTTTTTAAGAAACATCGGAATATATAGCATATATCATATAGAAAAAGATAAACACGAACCACAATTAATCTGGGAAGCAAAAATCCAAAATTTAAAAGATATCGAAAATATTCGCAGCAAAGTTGATTATAAACCACAAATTTTTCAACTTGATACCGACACAAAAATATATGATGCACAAAAGGAAAAAACAACTTCTGAAATGTGGCTCGTGTGCACAGGTGGAAATACCGAAATCACAGATACGGCATTATCCGATTTCTCAAAAGAGGAGAGACTTACTGTACGCATGACCTGAAGTTTCATCATTCTATTTATTGCATAATGTAACCAATATTAATTCATAATTCTTTCTTAAGGCACATGGTGGTGTCGCTGCTATTCTTGCACGATCAGATAATGAATCTTTAAATAATCCTTTAGATGTAATATAATTCAAATATGTGTGCGCAATTCATATTTACATAATTTCTTCGCAACTAATGATTTATTGAATTATTTATGCAGTTAACAAACCCGCCTGATCTTGATGGAAAAGAATATGCATATGTTTCATGCAATGGTTCTACAAATTTAGGAGTGCACATAAATGGCCATTTTTCTTTGACAAGAGATAGAATAGTTATTTTACAACCAAATGATAACATCAATGGAAAGTGGAATAAATACATTTTACTTGAAGTCCTACATCATTGCATGTTAAATTATTGGAAAAAATAGCTGAAATAGACTATGAACGTTTCAAAAAATCTAACATCAGTGCCGAAAAATTTGTTTCATGCATAACAAAAAAATTTTGCCCATTCAGCAGAGTTAAGTCGGGTTTGTATTATAGCTATGCGATAAGTGTACTACAAAAAATTAATGATAGCGAAGTGTTTTGGACAGAAGCTAATGGAGGTAAATTTGTATCCTTAAACAATGCATATTTCTACGAGGAAAGTGAGTCTGCCATTGCAAATATTCTTGTTGAACATGGTATTTCAACTGTGAAGATTGACAAAAATATACTTGGTCAACTGAAAGAGTCACAAAACCAAAAAGGAAGACCAGATAAGAAATATAGACCTATTAATTCTGAATCTGTTTGTAATTTACTAAGAAAACCTGACGTTCTACAATCCATTCATCAAAAATCTACGGACTCCTATAAGGATGTTTTAGTTTTGTTAAAATTCGTTTTGCAAAATAAGAATTTATTCTCGAAGTTAACTGGGTTGCAGTTGGTACCCTTAAAAGATAGATCTATTGGTACTTTTGGTGAACAAACTTATTATATCGCAAAGCAAAAACATCAAGTTTTATTTCCACAATCTGGTCCTTCCCGTTTTGTTTATGATTCAGATGATGAACTTAATAAAATTTTTGAGAGTAAAGATTTTTCGAGGTTTACCAATATTAAAAAGCTTGACGCACCAGGCGTTCTTGACCTTTTGGATGGGGTGCTTCCAAATGAACAGGAAATTGATTGGGATCCTTCCGCAGAAAATGGTCTTAATCGATCATGGCTTGATGATATTTTTGAAAAAATGAAATGGTGCATAGAATTAGAAATTACAAGTTTATCTAAATATCCTTTGCTCCCTGTCATTTCACCATGTGATAAACTTGTTCGAATGGATCCGTCAAACCCTTTATTGAATTGTCCGGACAATCCAGACGAAGTTTTTATGCGTGCGCTTGGAAAGTTAGGAATTCGTCTCACGAACATAAAATTTAATAATAAGCATATTAATAAGTCAGAATTCTTTAAAAAGGGTGTACTTAATTGGAACTATTTTAATGTCTTTGATTCTATTAAGAGAAAACGAAAATCACAAAATATTTCCATGGAGTTATTTTTTGACAATGCAGCATTTGAGAAAGATGAGTTAAAAAAGTTCAGAGAGTTCGTTAAAGCATTCTTCAATTCTCAAAATTTTCAAGGTTTGTTTTACAGAACCTTTTGAGTTGATATATATATATATTTTTTATTCTATCTCCTGATATAAATATTTTTTGACTACTCAAGGGCAGAAAGATAAAAATACCGAAATTGTTGAGATTATTAAAGAACTTCCAATATGGCCAATCGGTTCATCAGAACAGAATGAATATGTTCCCGTAAAGAAGGGAAAGGTGCCTCCACGTAATCTTTCTTGTCCTTTGCTAGATACTGACATATTTGTCGTGGAAGATGAATATTTTAATGTGCTTGATAAACTGGTGCTAAAAAGATTGAAGCATACGAATATGTAAAACAATGTTATCCTCCTAGTTCAGGTAGAGTACCGACACAGCAAGATGTGGAATTCCTTGAAGAAATTCTTTTGCTTAAAGATCAAAAAATTGAAAATTACCTTAAAAATCGTGAATCGATTCCCAACAGGAGTCTTAAAACATTTGTAAGAGCCGATACCCTATACGATGCAAATGAAGACTTATTCAATCAAATTTTTGATGAGGACAAATTTCTTCCTTCTCAATTACAAAATAATTATGTTTGTTGTAATGCTTTATCAAGGATAGGACTCAAACAGATTATCGATGGAACTACATACATTGAATGCATTCGTGAAATTCAGAAGAAAATTAATTATATCCCTGACAATTATACTGATCAAAATATTAGATCCATTGCAAAAAAATTAACAGAATATTTAGAATATTTTATTCATAATAGATTGCGATTTGAAGATGAATTGAAGCAAATTTTCGAAATAAAATTTATTCCTTTTAACAATAATCTTCCTAATCCTTACAGCAAGACAACAAATTATACTTCAGGATATGAATCTTTTAGCTCACTGTATTCCGAAGTGTATATGAATATATGTTGGACGCAAGCAAAATTTTTTGATCCTGATATTCCACGATTCGCAAGACCTCCAAGAATCAACATGGTCATTGAGCATTGGAACTGTTTGTTTGTTAGAAAAATTTTCCAAAACGATTCAGACTGGGAAGTTGATAGAATATACCAAATTATGGAGGATATTTATCGATTCGTGATGGGAAAAGGAGTTATGAAATCTGAATTAAAAAATTTACGTTTCTTAAATGGTGATAACCCTTTTGATCCTAATTGTTGGGTTTTGGGCGAAAATCTTGCTTTTGACATTCAAGATGACAGAGGAAAATTGGTCAAAGTACATGACCGTTTGAAACCATTTAAAAAACTATTGATAGATGCTGGCGCACATATTATTGATGATGATATAGAATATGAACTTGCACCGACCAATTCTTTACGGAAATATGAATTGCTTAAATATTTAATCGAGTATCTGCGGGATCAAAAACCAAATTCTCAATACCATGATGTTACATTCAAAGTTGGGAATCATGAAATTGGCGCAAATCGTTTTGTTCTATCAGGTACATGTGCGCTTTATAATATTGCTTAAATATTATTTAGGCCATATAAACATAATATATTGGTTTTAATAATCCGGCTAGATCAAATTTACTAAATTTTAAAAAAAAATTTTAATTTTTCAGATGTTGCGACACACTTTGACTGGAAGTTTTCCGTAAATCCTATAATCATTAATGGCATTCAACCTGACACATATAAAGTGCTCTTGAGATATCTTTATGGGATGTCATACTCGAAAGCTGTCGAGGATGTTTTCGGAGAGGGATTTGATGGACAAGATTATGTAGAGTTTATACTTGACTTTTTGAAAGCATCATATAAGTCTTTCAAGTACGGTATCACACAACCTAACCAATATTCAGCTTGTGACAAACGCCGAATTTTGATAATTTTCTCCAGTAAATAACATGTATCCGTTGATGTTGTATCAAGAAATCTAAATTTCTTCGGTGCAATTATTTGACCATATTCTTTTTCATCCGTTCTCGGTAAAAGGAACATAGTTACTTGTTCATCGAACCTTAGACTAATAATCTCATCTTTGCCAACTTCTTTAAAAATTGGTAAACATTTGATAATTTCAATGTGATCCTTTGTAAGTGATGGAGTAATGTGTAAGTAATGAGATAAGTATTCTATGAAACGTTCTGCTTCAGGCGGGTATAAATTATACACTTCATCGGTATTTAATGATGATAAAACTGATTCTATGTCGCTTATATTGCAAATGTATGCTGAGAGCCTATTGGTATAGTTAGTGAAACTGTTATTAATAAAATAAATTGTTAAATCATAAGGATGGGTATATAGTAAATATTTCAAAACGCACCTTATCTTTAAATAGGCTATATTGTCTTCAAATTCTCTATTTACGAAAATTACGCCAAGCTTTTCAAGAATAGAGTTTATTTGATCAAAAGAGTTCTGTAATCCCTCAGTACTATTCCAAAAATATTTTATTTGACCCGTCTTAAGTTTTCTGAGAATATTTTGTTTTGTTGGTATAAGATGAATATCTTCAAATGAAATCAGATCCTTTTCATTAAATTTGTTACATAAATAATTCCAAAGTTGATTAATCCATTCAAACCGGGTTTCCATATCAATCTCATCTTTATTAGAATTGGGATGATTTAGATAATTTTTAACCATATTAGCAATGATTGGTGCAGTTAACATCTCGATATTAAAATTCCATCCTTTTGTTGTCACTTTATCGCACAAACGACTTAGTAAACTACATGGGATGTCTTTAACGATCAACTTGTCTAATTGATCTTTAAAAATTTCGCGCGGATCATTTTCATCATCCGTAAGGCTATCTGGACATATATATGTGGTTGTGCCACGTTGAGATATTGTTTTAAATGTTCCGTCGGCCAATGGAATCATTTTCAAACCTTCTAATATCTTATCATTTTCATCATTTAGTAAATAATTGAACAATTCAAAGGTTTCTTGTCTTGTCAGCTTATCTTCTTCCCATTTGTCTTTATTTTTTTTAAGAAACTGGCTCACAATACTAGGAGAATAGAACCTGGGAGAATGCCTGCCAGATTTTTTTAACGTTTTGATGATTTCAGGGGGGGGGCCAAAATAATTGAAAATTTAATCTTGTTCAATATATTTGGAATAGATTCGGCATACGATTCTTCTTGAAAGTATCCCGTTGAAATTGATAACATTTTACTAGGCCCGCAGAAAATTTTATCGTCTGCATTAAGATTGCTTATCATATTTTCTAAAAGGTTTTTGAAGAAACTGGATGAAATAAACTGAACCGGGGCCAAAATTGGCCAAAACTTATAATAATCTTCCGGAGACACATGCGGTCGAAGCTCAATAAGAAATTTAACCCAAGCTTGTGGTATAGTCTGAAAGTTTTTTTTTACACCATGAATTAATTTCGTTTTTATAATTCATCTAATTGTCAAGGATTTGAAAATAATCAAATACCTTTTCGAAAAGATAATGATTCCATCTAACTTTCAAATTTGCCAAAGAATTAATGGCCTAACCCAAAATAAGCATTTACACAAGTGTTTAATACGTAACTAGTACTAATAGCCACAACAATAAATTAAGCTTACCAAATCTTTATCTATTCCAGACCATAAATTACGTCTGTTATTGGTAACCTATTGCATTTAACGTTAAAAATTAATTTAACCTTATTTTTAATTGCAAATATTTGTCAACAAAATAGGCTAGCTTACCGCAAAATGTCCATTTATGGAAACTCGAAAAGGAGTATCAATATGGAGAGGGAAAAAGCAGAATAATCCTCCATGAAGTTTGTCTCCATTTTGACCTGAATTTAGTTTTGTGGCTAACCCTACAATTGGTACAGTACCGAGTCTTTCTCCAAAGTCATCTGGAAATTTGCGATTTGCGTCATGTAAATCACCAAGCATATTCACAATGAACCATGAGGAATCTTCTACAACATCTCCTCTTTCACATCGAACAAGAGATACACGGTATGATGTGTATAATGGTGTTCTTTGTTGTTCAAGTTTATTTTCTTTAAGATCCTTCATCATTGGAGCGATTTTCTTAACGATCATTTGACGCTCTTTGCGTATTTTTCTTGCATCTTTCAGTGAAATTCTGTAAATTAATTCGGGCTCAGTTTCTCCTATCTTCAACTCGTAAAATTCAATACATTCAATGTATCTAAGAAAAGTAAACAATTAACGCTATCCTTTTCGAAAAATGTTTTAAACATTTCTAAAACATGATCTGGTTGATATGTTGTTTTTGAGATTTTTGATTCTTTAGAACCTTTTTTAGTACGCAAAGGATATCGAAATATTGTGCCTTCAAATGAACCATCACAAGGAATACTAAGTTTTCCAAGATTTTTGAAAGGATAAAATTGATCTGGATATTCTTGAGATAAGCTATCTTCAATAAAATTGTCATATACATGTCCTCCCTCATAGCACCACTCATGAGGGTCAAGAATTACAAAATTATCATTAGTGATGAATGAACAACTGTCACATAAATGGTAAATAGAATTAAAACCGACACCCATTTCTCCAATTTTATCATATTGGCCTTGTTTTTCACTGTTAGCTAAATTCTCCAATGATGTAAAATCATCATCATTAAATTTGGTGTTATTTTTCGACAATAATGCAGGTCCTTGGAATCTATTAAGTCCGGGCATAAGAAGACTCTCAATACGATAAGTATTATGGTCAAGTATAAATACTTGTTCTGTACTTTGTGCGTCATCCGAATTCTGTAAGATTTCGCGGAGAACTTGTGAGCTGTCAGGGTATTCTTCGAGAATCTTTTTTAAGCGATGAGTATAAGGTTCTTTTGGTTTGAACTTTTTTCCTCCTGCCATCTTATTTCAACAAACGATATTACGTATTTTTTAAACAATAAACAAATTTTAAGACAGAATAGTTTAGATTATATAATATCGATACACTATATCAGTGTGCGAGAGGGAAAATCAGTAAGTAAAAAAATTTGGACCCTAAAAAATTATGATCGGGGTTTTTATAATTTCAGGAATATACAATAATTTATTACTGAAATTATCAAAATGCCGATCATGATTTTTTTAGGGTCCAAATTTTTTTACTTACTGATTTTCCCTCTCGCGCACTCATATACTGTGAATGGCAAATACAGTATATGGTCTATTTATGACACCTACAGTATTACTGTTTTTAAGATATACTTCTCAGTCGGACGTTATAATGTGTAAGAATAATAACGATATATTTATATAAAACGAACACTATGAATATTCTAAAGTTGGGCCGTATTTTATTTAAAACTATAGTGTTACATGGGTGACATGAAAAGGTGCAACTTAAGTCCATTTGGAGCTAATTTATTGTTTTATTTGGTTTACTATTCTATTTCGATGATCAAACCTAAAAATGATGCTAAATTTACGATACGTACGATACGTATATTTAATCATTGATCGAGTAACTTTATAGAAATCGAATTCTTATATTTTAAATTCCTTCAACTTATATCAACAATATCAATAAGAGATTAATTTCCATTGTATCCTATTTAAGGATGCTACTCAAACTAGATTTGGAGAGTACGTAATTACGGTACAAACCAATTTCCCCGACAACCATTCACCCGACAACCTATTTCCCCGACAGTCCACTTTCTCGAAACCATTTCCCGACTGCCCATCCCCCCTTTCATCTTATAATTATCATATATCAAAGTTTATTTTTACTATACAATTCATTTCGCCGACAATTTTGGCTCGATTTTTGGTTAGGGTTGGCCCGCTTAATAGTTAGTGTTGGCTAGTGATTGTCGGTGAAATGAACTGTCGGGGTGATAGGCTGTCGAGGAAATAGTTTCGGAGAAGTGGGCTGTTGGGGAAATGGGCTGTCGGTGAAATGGCCGTCGGCGATATGGTTGTCGGTTAAATGGTTGTCGGGGAAATCTACCAAATCCTTTTTTTTATTATTTACTTTTCTATTTTTTTCTTTTTTTATAAGAAAGTATTATCAGATTGGCAATATTTTATTATGAAATAAAAATTTTGATGAGTAAGAAATAGTTAGCTATTGAGTCTAGAGAATAAAAGTTTTTAGTAAGTTTTGGACCTTTAGAGAAGGCCAAGTATTGCTAGACAGATTATATTTAAGTATAATATAGTAGTTTAATAGTTTATTTTGACTACAAATAGAAGATATAGCAACTATAAAGTAAAACTAGATAAATTTGTCTTTGGTTAGAGATATTACAAACTAGAATTAATATATATTTATATATTGTTTTGGTTTTTTTTTCCAAATAAAACAAGCAAGATTTGTTAAAGGATAAATATATATATTTTTTTTCAGTGTTAAGGTGAGGTTTTGCCTCATATCTTTATTTAGATAATTTTAAGTATTTGCTTTATATAGTTACATATCTAACTTAAGAATACAAACTTAGACAATTTTTATCTATGACCTAAACTTATCAGAGTATGCTATGTTCCCACCATGTATTGGGTTATACCTGGATTTGGTGTTCAGACTATATCTAGTTACCCACCATATTCGTTCTATATTTCACCATCAAATCTTGATAACTTCCAAATTGGTTCATTTGGGTAATCGGTCCTTAATGACCTTCCAATTTGGTGTGCCTGTTATTCAAAATATTTTCTAAACTGGTATACTTCTTCTAATAGATAGCTTCTCATCCATGTTTCTCAAGCCAGGTACCTGCTGTTACCACTAGTCCTACATAAGAAGCATTGGTATTACATGTTGAAAAGGGAACTTATCATTGGGCTTATACTGACTAATACTGGCTTGCATTTCTTCATGCAACTTAATATTACATAAATACCCCAAGCCTCCTACTTGTTTCTTCAGATATACTAGTCTTGTATCTCAAGCCAGGCTCCTACTGCTGCTACCTGGTTTGCCATCTCCAGATTTTGACATTTTCTAAGTTATCTGATGCAGTGTACTTTATACTACCCCCTTAAGTACTTTCTTATATGATATTCATCAGAACTATGGTTTGTAAAGACCTCTTGAGTTGCATAGCAACTACAAGATTACACACTTCCAGCTATTGGCTATTTTTGTAATTTTGCTTTAATAACCTATCTTGTTAAAGATTAGCTTAATACCATAAAATTACTTAAGTGGCAAGTTAAATCACTTTCATCTATTTCTAGTTAGTGTTATATTAGTATTAGTAAATCCTAACTCTTTTTCATCATAGACTTCTATATAGATATGACCAGAGCTCTAAATTAGTATCTTTAGTTATACAGGAGTAGGTTACATTTTCTATGCTAAGTAGCCTTTTATAGTTATTCTACCAGTGCCAGAGATGTTTTCAATTCTAGTTAAGATATAAGATTTTTGCTAGAAAAATGACTCTTTGGGACTGATCATCTGATTTTGAGTAAACAACAATTAAAATTTTGTTACACAAATTAAAGATCATCAAATCTGCTACTAAAATTAGATTTTGTTATATAATAATAGAAATACAAAATTTTTGCTAGTAAAATGACCCTTCGAGATATTATTACACAAATTTTAAATTACATAGAATTTTGACTATCCGAAACAATATTATACAAAATTTTAATACCTATTATAAGGCTTCGTTACTTTAGAGATTCTCTTTAACAGTAAACTCATCATGTATTAGACTCAGGCATAGCTCGCAGAATCTCTATTAAAAATACAATTTTTTTAACAGCAGGACCAATTATGTTGTGTGTGTATTTAAAATTTTTTTTTATAATATCATCTTTTAGCAGGACCAATAATTTTCTATCTCTTTATACGTATTTTAATTAATAATATAAATAAGACTTTAAACTTCATAAGTCAGAACCCTGAAACTTTTTGGTATAGTTATACGAGAAAATTTTTTTGAAGTTATTTTTATTTTCATATGTATTTATTACTTCATTAAAATACTAATTTTGGCTTAGCATGAGAACTGTTATAAATAATAGCTTATTGATAATACTTCTATTTAAGTAGTGAAATGAAAGTATAAAGCCCCAATATAATAAATCATTTTCTTCTAAGGAGGAATTTAAAAGCTTACCAAATATCAAAATTTTGAGTAAAAAAATCTGTATTCTTGAATCTAATCGTAGGTAACCATTTTTGAGTTCTTTTATAATAATTTGTACATACATAATGTTCTCAAGCTGCCTTCTTACAATAGCCATCATAATAATCACTACAGATAAGAAAGTTTATACAACATATATTTATGCTTGGTTTACCATTTATACGATATATATTATTTTAGATTCGTATTAATCTAAAACACATATGTATTCAATAGGCATCATTTTCTTAGTTTCTTTTTTTTTCTTTTAATACAATAGTATAAAATCATTTTTTATAAAAAAAAAAATTTTTAAAAAGAAAATTTTGTTTAATTTGATTGTATGAAAAATCATAAGTTTTTAAGATCAATAAATGGAAAATTTAGATACAAATTTAATTTTTTTAAAACCAGTGTATAATCTAATCAAGTTAGAATTAGAAAAATATAAAGATAATAAATTAGTTCTTGATACTATCCATGATTTAATACAGTTTTTTGAACAATTAAATTGTGTATGCCGATGTTCATCTAACAAAAAAGATCTTAGAACATGCTATGAAAAAGTCAGATTTAAATGATTTTTTGAAAGACATTTTCAAATAAGAGCATTAAAAAAATTGAAACTCGAATTATTTTTAAAAATACAATTAGTAGTTTTTGAAATTATAAATGATAAATTAGAAGTTCATAAAAGATATAATTATAGATATTGTTATAACTATTCTTTTTCTTTTTGTAAACCTGCATTTTTAAAACTTTATAGGATAAATGATTATTTTCTTTTAGCAATACAAGATTATTTACAAAATAAAGGTATAACAGAAAGGATTCATAGTAATACTGGCCATGTACCTAAAGTAAAAAGCAAATTATCCCATGGGTATTATGTATACACTGGTAAAAAAAATCACATATATTCGACATACTTTATTATGATGTTCACGTGATTAGTGTGCAAAAAATTGTAATACTTCAATTTTAAAAATTCTGATTTTAAAAAATTCCAATTTTAAAAAATTCTCTAAATCAAGTGTACAAGAATAATAGAATTTAAATTCTAAAAAATTCTCTAGATTAAGTACATTATCAATTTTATTAATTATGATAAAATTGAATTATATCTGATTTAATGAAAAACATTAAAAATGATAATGAAAGTGGTAATGTATTTCCCGATTTCATGATTATTTTTGATGAAATCATGTGGATCAGGTATGTAATAGGGTGAAAATTGATTAGAAATATCATTAAAGGGGGCCGTGGTCTTTTAGATTGTGATAGGTGAGGAATATGTAATGGGTAAGTAATATTTGATGAATAAGGAGTAAGTGATGTATCTAAATCAAAAAAAAAATAAAAAAAATAAAAAATAAAAAAAATAAATAAAAAAACATATAAATAATAAAACTCACCTGTGGTTTCTTTTATTTGATCATTTATTTCATTCATGGTTGCCTTGATTTGTTCATTCATAGTTGCCTTGTTTTGTTCATTCATTTGATCTATTTGACTGTGCAAAAGTTAACTTGCCGAAGTAAATGGTGGAACTAAAATTAAATTAGTAAACTATTCAAAATTTTTATATATAATTAAATAAATTACCTTCATCTTCATATTCGTCATCCTCATATTTAATAAAATGAGCACCGTTTCCAGGAAAATATATAAATTCTTCATATGATATATCAGTAAAATCCAGGGAATTAAAAGTGCCGTATTGCTAACTTTTGGTCATCATTGGGAGAATTGTAAGCACGAATACCTTCTCTACTTCGATGTTCTGAAAATTCCATACACTCCTGCTTTGATACATTTAAATCTCTAAGGTGTTGAATTGCTGTTCGTCTCAAGGAATGATTGCTTATTTTATGCCCACTTTCAAGATTAATACCAGTTAATTCAGTGATTGTTGACATCATCGTATTTAGCTTATTTGCCCCCATTTTATTTGTTTTAAACCAGACATTATCTTGTAAATCTTTAGATTTACGAGTAGTTTCTAAAAAAAAAAGGTCAACAGCACCTTCGGGTCTCATAGATAAAAAATGCAAAATATTATAAACAGGTCAAAATCAATTACCAGGTGTATCAGGTGGTATAGGGATTTTTCTTGCATGTGATTTTCCAAATTTGTTCCTTTTAAAAACACCACGCTGATTATTTTTTTCTTGATTAAATGTCAAATACAGGCCACCATCAGGGCGACGAGAAATATCTTGTATACGAATTCTCACTGCATTTCTACTACGAAGACCACAAAGAAGAGAAAGACAAAAAAAAACTCTTCTAACTAAACTTTCATTATCATTTCCTTGCATTGACTCATGGTCAAGAATCTTAGTTATTTCATCTGTGGTCAAAAAATCTGCTTGTTCAGTTTCACCCAATCCATTATACTGGAGCTTTTTCATTTTTCCATCAAGAGTTTTAAGAGCCTTGTTAAATTTATAAGAGTCCCACAACTTGCAAGGTTGAATTTTGCTATGATCTTTAAGGTACCGTGCAATAGATGCATAGCAATTATATACACTTTTCACTTTATAATCTTTACCATCAACTCGTTTTAACCAGGTAATAAATTTACATAAAAAGTCTTGTAGTTCGTCAGTTGTTTGTATATTCTCAATAGACATTGTGTAATTAGTAAGCGTACAGAAGCGATCAACTGCTCGTAGCTATTTTTGTGTATACTTATCGGTATTGGGAACACAAAAAGCTTTTTGAAGTTCTAAAATATCAGCTTCAGTAGGTACAGTATCCATTTTAAAATTTAAAAAGGAAATAAAATGTTGATCATAAGATAATAAAAATTAAAAAGGAAAGTGGATGTTAATCGAACTAAAACTGTAAAAGAGAAAGAGTATGTCGATCAAAATAAAAAATGTTAATATATATGGGTTTCACCAGGTATACATCATACCCATGGGATAATCCAGTTATTTCAGTCTGGGAATATACCAAATTTGGTCATCGATGATCTTACCTTATTTGGTAAATGATCATCAGTCGGATGATTCTA